TTGTTGCTTCCTCTGTCACTCGAGTCGGTGTTCCTTGTGGCGAAGGCTTCTAGTGTCCTGTTCATCATTTCCCAGGTGCTTGCCCATGTCATGACATCCGGTCCCACGTTGTTGTGAGTCGTGGAGTCCCCTGGACCACTCGTTGTGTTTGCTGTTCCACTTTTCATAATCGCTTTGCCCCCCCCCCCGGTGATGTACTCGCGGCATCCCGGGGTAATGGTAACGGTGTTGACTGCCGTTTGCTCCGTTGTGGTTCCACGAAGTCAACTCTATTGCCTTGCGTTCGCTCCGCTGCTGGCCTGTCCTGTGACGTTGAGTTCCTCAAGATGGCGTCTAATTTTGCCTGTATTGCACATGAATTTTCAGCCTGGTCCCTACTCATCATATCCATTCTCGTTTCCAAACTCCCCAACTGGCTATTCACTGCGTCATATCGTTGCTTCATTTCTTGCATGTCTTTTTTGATGTTCTTGTCTCGCTCTTCATCAGTGGTATCTACCTTGTCCGAAACCTGCTGAAGCCTTTCCTCTGTCGCTTTCGCTAGATTGAAGTAGCTGTCCAGGTACTCATGTTTGTTGTTTCTTAACTCTTTCCTTATCACATATCTATCCTCTTCGCTGTGCTTCAGTTTCTTGTCGATCTGATCTAGCTTTGCCATCAAATCGCCTAGCTCAAGAGTAAGTGTTTCATGGTCAGTTGTTGCCCTGTTGTTGGCTGCTTTTCCTGGTCTGTTCTGGTCTTCGTTTTGGTCGGTGTCTGTCGTTTTCGTGGAAACTGTTCCGAATGTTTTGCCTTTCTCGGCTTTCGGTTCTTCCGCTGCTGCGTCTCTCGACTTCATTCCGACCATTATCGCCAATCTTTCAAAAAAAGACGTTCTTTTTGCTTGAGACTCGTCCTTCACCATTTCTGGCGTGTTGCCTGTTGTGTCTTTCACATTGTCTATCGGTGAGAACTCCATGGACTTTGGATTTGGTTCCTCTGCATTCGTTATCGGTGTTGACTCCGTCGTCTTCTTCTCCACCTCATCCACACTCTGGTCCGGTGTCTCTAGTTCAATCTCGATGGCGGGTTCTGCTCGTCTCCCTTCCATGCCCTCTTTTTTTTTGTTCTCTGTATTACTCCTCGTGATGACCATGCTAACTGAAAAGTTCTTCTCCGTTATCTTTGGGCCCATTGATGTCGTTTTACGTAGCGACGAGTTATATTTTCTCCTTGATTCAGTAGATCTTTTTTCAGCCACCGGTACCCTGCTCCGTCTCATTATTTTTATTTACAATTGTTCCTATTTACAGTATTACTATATACAAAATTCTACTCTATGGTTAAAATCTCTGACATTAATAAAAAGCTATTTTCAATTTAAAAAGAACAACGTTTTTTTTTTGAAAATTCTAAATGTTCTTGATCACCACAGTACCGGATCTATCGCGACATAACTCTCTGACTAGTCCTATTGCTTTTAATTTTGCGATTGGTTACTTCAACCTGTCTTAGTACTCTTTAGTACCGTCACCCCCCTTCTTTATACTGTTCCAAGACTACTCGGTACTGTCCCAGTACTTCTTTTAGTGTCCCAAGACCTCTGTCCCAAGACCCCTGTTCCAAGACTAATGTTCCAAGACTAGTGTCCCAAGACCCCTGTTCCAAGACTAATGTTCCAAGACTAGTGTCCCAAGACCCTTGTCCCAAGACTACTGTCCCAAGACTAGTGTCCCAAGACTAGTGTCCCAAGACTACTGTCCCAAGACTACTGTCCCAAGACTACTGTCCCAAGACTACTGTCCCAAGACTACTGTCCCAAGACTACTGTCCCAAGACTAGTGTCCCAAGACTAGTGTCCCAAGACCACTGTCCCAAGACTACTGTCCCAAGACTACTGTCCCAAGACCACTGTCCCAAGACCACTGTCCCAGGACCACTGTCCCAAGACCACTGTCCCAAGACCACTGTCCCAAGACCACTGTCCCAAGACTAGTGTCCCAAGGCTAGTGTCCCAAGACCACTGTCCCAAGACTACTGTCCCAAGACCACTGTCCCAGGACCACTGTCCCAAGACTAGTGTCCCAAGACCACTGTCCCAAGACCAGTGTCCCAAGATCACTGTCCCAAGATCACTGTCCCAAGACCACTGTCCCAAGACCACTGTCCCAAGACCACTGTCCCAAGACCACTGTCCCAAGACTGCTGTCCCAAGACTACTGTCCCAAGACCAGTGTCCCAAGACTGTGTCGTACCAAGACTGCTCTGGCCCAAGACTGTCCCAAGACCACTGTCCCAAGACTACTGTCCCAAGACCACTGTCCCAGGACCACTGTCCCAAGACAAGTGTCCCAAGACCACTGTCCCAAGACCAGTGTCCCAAGATAACTGTCCCAAGACCACTGTCCCAAGACCAGTGTCCCAAGATCACTGTCCCAAGATCACTGTCCCAAGACCACTGTCCCAAGACCACTGTCCCAAGACCACTGTCCCAAGACCACTGTCCCAAGACTGCTGTCCCAAGACTACTGTCCCAAGACCAGTGTCCCAAGACTGTGTCGTACCAAGACTGCTCTGGCCCAAGACTGCACTGTCCCAAGACTGTCCCAAGACTGTACTGCTCCAAGACCGTCCCCAGACTGCAATGTCCCAAGACTTCTTCGGTACTGTCCCTAGACTTGTCACTAAGTATCTGGATAGTATGATATCTTCTTCTTTGTTGTGGGGACTCTTGAACCACTGTACCGTGTACCACCACTTGAGTTCTAGTAAAAAAAAATCCCAAAATCCCTTTCTTAATGGCCAAAATCCAAATACTGACCCCCCTGTATTTATCTCCCTTTCGTTGTTTCAGGCTATTTGAAACCCCAACTTCTTCGCAGGTATCTTGTGGTAACCTGTTCGTTCAAATACCAACAACAACTTTTCACTAAAACGTAAAACTTAAACAGGAAAAATTATAAAAACAGAGAGATGAACCCACCTAAAATTCAAAGCTGACTGATGTCAACCTTTGTCCGAAAAAAAATGTCTGGTACCCGATTGCCACGCGTTTTCCTCCCCCCTGCTAGCGATCTTATGGGGTATCACAAAAACTGTCTATGTCCGTTCCCCCCTACCGATCCGACCAGGGTACCTACCTTAACTCGATGTTAAATTTGGATATCCGCTTCTTATAACCAACGCGTGTAAGTATCTAATGTAACTGAATCGACGATGCCGAACAATTAGTTACTCTACTGTGTCCCCCCTTTTTGCAATTTACAACGGCCAAACTCTAGCCTAACCTGCCCCTCTTCTAACCTCCCCCTCTTTAGCCCCCCTCTTAAGCCGAAAAATCCCTTAAGCACCGGGTCCTAAACCTCTCAAGAGAAAACCGTAGACCTGTTTCCAGGCCTGCTTGTGTAAAAACTTCCTCAAAACAATGGGGCTCCGCTTATCCAATTTTACACTTATTTCCTAAAATGTAATGTGGATTTTAACGATACCCGTTTGTCCAACTTGAGAACACCCCTGAGCGTCCTCCTCTTGTTGTTGCGATCCCGTGCTGGTTGTCCCCTTGACGTGCACTGCACTTGACACCAGCACCTCCTTCCCACTTGGCTGGTCACCTCTTCCAGTCAAGTCTCCTAGCGGTTCAGCTCAGTCCTTGTGAACCACTTTCCCACTCGGCTGGTCACCTCTTCCAGTCAAGTCTCCTAGTGGTCCGGCTCTGTCCTTGTGAATCACTTTCCCAATCGGCCGGTCACCTCTTCCAGTCAAGTCTCCTAGTAGTCCGTCTAGGTTGCAAGCCATCTGAAAACCCTTAACAACGCCACCCACTTGGGCACCTTATTGAAGTCATTGGTTTAGATTGCTAGATTGATCGAAACGATCGGTCTTATAAATTAGTATGGGTATACTATTTATTTATTATAAAGGTTTGATCCAACTAATCTGGTATCAAAGTCACTGTCATTTTTGTTTTATGGTTTTTGTTCCTTCTTCTATACTTTTTTCTTGTTTTGTTTCGCTCTTTGTCTTTTTGCTCGTGTTTTTGTCCCCCTAGTTACCCCCCTACTCAGTTAGCTAAGCCTCGTTCGGAGAGCGTACCAGGAAGTTTTCTCAAGTTTTCTTAAAAAGCTATCACGGTACAACCGGAAAGTTTACACGTTCCCGCTGAACCGTACCACCAGTACTCTAGAATGGGCATGCAGCCCGGAGCTGTGTCAAGTGGGTTCGACTCCGTAGTCATGATGTCGTAAAAACACCCAGGAGCGCCATAAAAACACTATGTAACAGTCGCCTACTTCGGTCACATATGAGGCTTAAGAAAAATAGGCCCTATAACTATTGGCTCAAGAGTCAGGGACACTATCTTTTGTGTTTTTCTACCTCAAAAACGGTCGGAGCCAATTCGGTTCGCTTGCGACATCAGACTAGAACCCGTTACAGCTTAAAGGCTACTACCAAAATATCACCCACTCTAGAAAATAAGAGCGTCACCATACTCAGGTCTCAAAATACCACAGACCAGTAGTCTCCACCATACAGCTGAAACTGAAGTCCTACACAAACAGCTACGCGTCGTCAAGTATTTTTGAGAACTAAAACTTCACTCCAAAATCACGTATTTTCGTGTTCCTCAAGGTCAAACTTCCAGATATGACCGACTGGCACAGTGCCGTGTCTACGCCAGAGAAAGGTTTAGCCGTGCTCAATTCCTTGTGAGTTTCCGCTGGAGCGGGTGTGTTGAGCAGTTGTTCGAAGAGCCTTGCCCAGGTTTCTATCCTCTCGTTAGCGTCCGTCACGAGCTGCCCCTGTGAGTCTTTGATATTCTCGCTGAGCCCACTAGGTTTACTGAAAAGTTTCTTAGCAACTGAGTGCACCTTTGATTTGTCACGGGTGTTATCCGCGTGGTTCATATTTTCAGCCAGTTTGTCGTAGAACGCCTTTCTGTCCTTTCGGACCGATTTCTTGACTTCTCGTCGTAGGAAGGCTTTTAAAGAACCCTTGCGGGCCCGGGCTCTCTTTTCAATCAGTTAGAGGGTCTCGTGGCTGATCCACGGGTTTTCTATGCGTTTCGCGGACACTATGGTTTTTGCTGCCGCTGAGTGTATGATGTCCTTCATTTGCCTCCACATCGCGTCCACGTACTCCTTAGTTTCCGCCGTGTCAAGCAGCTCATTTGTATGCGGTGGAGTCTTTGTCCTTGCGGAGGTTGGCGAGGTCATACGTGACGACGCGTAGCTGTTTGTGTAGGACTTCAGTTTCAGCTGTATGGTGGAGACTACTGGTCTGTGGTCGCTGTCGGACTTGAACTTTGGGATGTTGTCGATGTTTTTTAGGGAGTAGCGCCATCGTCTTGAGATGACAATGTGATCAATCTTGTTCCTCGTTTTGTGGTCGTTTGAAGTCCAAGTGTGGAGCGTGTGTCTCTTTTTGCGGAACGTCGTGCTGGTGACGACTACGAGGTCGTTCAGCAGGTAGAAGTTAGCACTTCTTTCTCCAATTGAGAAGCGCCCGATGATCTTTCCTTCTCCATCAGCCGGCTGGCCGATTTCGGCGTTTAAGTCGCCTCTGATCAGTAGGGCGTCCTTCAGTGGGTCATAAAGAAGAAGATCGTGGAGAGACACGTAGAACCGGTCTTTTTCCTCCTCGTCGCTGTCCTCTATTGGAGAGTAGGCGCAGATGCATGTGACAGCCGTAGCAGGGTTACTAACCGACCCCGCACTAATCCTACTGGGGTCGAGGGAGTATACTACCGTTACATCCCAAAAAGCTGCTTACAATAGCCCATGGAATGAGCGTCAAACCGTCTGTTCCCTTCTGATCGGTACTGCAGCGGTGTTGTGGCTCTAAAACAGAAAGAATTTTAGTCGAAGATATACCCTGCTTTATGAGGGCATTCAGAATTGATTGCCTTGACAATGTCTGTGAACACTTTAGGCAGGAAAAGCCATGCCAACCATCTTCGGTAAAGTCTTTTCCGCTTACGCATTTAGGCTGTTTCCAAATCTTAGACACTAATTGAAGTTGTTATTTCAATATTTTCAACCTTAGGATTTTGCACGGGTTGCCGGTTAACCATTGGGAGCCAAATATATCTTGGAACGCGTTAAATACTTATACTTTTGTCTAAATCAAGTCTTCAAATCAAGTCTGCAATCCGCTGTCGAAAGTTAGCTGTCCATTTTTTGGGTCTTGTTTTCCGGAGCCATTTCATTTTTTCCAAGTTCAAACCTCCGTTTAAGCGCATCCTTATAAGTTTCATCAACAAAATCCAAGCCAAAGCTTTCGCGTCAGGCGTTTTCTGCTCATAGTACTGCTGAGGCTAAGAAAGCGGGTGAAGCTAGTAAACTAGCGGAAGAAACACCCAACCCATCTTGGGCTGCCGGATAATTGCTTTTCAAAACTGGTTATCATCCGTTGACACATTGATGACCTTGCACAACGAGTTTCGTAGTATTTCATCGTAGCGTTCAAAACAAAAATCGGTTTGCAAGAAGCAAGGGCTCGTACGCACCAGAAATATTGGAGTTTCGGCATCTTTTCTCAAAGAAAGTACCAAAATGGGCGTCATGTTTGTCAATGACATCAAAGATTTTTTCAAGCTATTGAATTTTTTGTCGAGCAATTCTTTTCGACAAAGTTCAGCGAGAATGATCCGATTGTAGGAAGCTCTTTTTTTTGTTTTTCTGTTTGTTTTGGTTCATTTTGTTTTTAGAAATTCAATTGTTACTGAGTTTTGTTGTGTACTCATGGTCGGTCCCGAAAAAAAAGTTCGCATTTTTCATTGTTCATGCCATAGGATTGTTTTGATTTCAGGATGTCCGGAGTACTAGCTTGTAGTTTTTGGCTAAATTTTTATCTCATAAACACCAGATGTTGATTTTTGACTCTAGCTGTTTGACTAGTATCTAGATTGTTTCCGCAAAAACGGTTGAAGGTTCAGGCTCGCCTTGTTGAAGTTTCTTCTCTGACATTAAATTAGAGCATTCTTTAAAAAAAGGTAACTAGGTTTACTATACGAGCAATGGGTGTAGTTGTACAACTCTGGACATTTTGAAAAAACGAGATTCAGCATCGTTTCTCTATTTAGAGAGTTAAAGGCATTCTCTAAGCCTAGTTTTATAAGAACAATGAGTTTTGTTGTTTTGTCATCGCGCTCAATTATGTTTTGAATTGAGTGTGCAGCTTTTTTTCTGCTCCTTGTTTTGTGCCGCACCTGACCTGTAGGTTTTCAATTTTTTGTTGCTCTGGAAGGGCCTTGCTTGCGGCGCATTTAGATGCGATATGTCTTAGCGTGTTGTCTATGCCAATTGGTCTAAAGTCTCCGTCTATCTTTATAAGGGAAATAAGTTCGGCGCCGAATAAGAAAAAGTTCATAAGGGTGTGGGTATTTTACAGATCGGTAAGCAACCTCAAAAGAACGAATCCTGCACTTCGATTCGTCTTACGAACAAGACCTTTAAATGTGAGAATTTATTCTATCTGAGCGTGTACCTGATCTCCTTGGAAATAACATTATCAATTCGTACAGATCGAATTCAATCACAAAAAAAAATTTTTTTTATGTGGAGCTGCAAATTTGGCTCACTGTGAGTGTTCATACAACATTTTTGATAGTTATCAATTAAAAATAGTGCAATTTTGTCATCTGAAGCAGGAAATCGTATCTCTCCTTTTATCTTTCCTTCATTGAGTTTACTAGACTTACGGATGAGTTTACTACACTTATGGCTTGAAACTTACGGATGAGGTTTTGAAGTGAAACGGCGTTTTCTTGATTTTTTTGTTCATCAAAAAGCTCATGCTTGTGGTTTGTTTCTGTCTACTTTTTTTGGGTTGCAAAAAAAAACAAGAAAAACTTTTGAAAAACTAGCCATTTTGTAACAATTTCTTTATTGTAGAAGTCATTCACTTTATTTAACCAGTAAACTCGCCGCCAAGGGAGCAAGCCGGTCTTTTGGTACTCTCGTGAGTACTCGCAATTTTGAGATGTAAGTTTTATTATAATTGTCTAGCACTAAATCATTATCTATTGTTGCTTTAATACTAGATTATACATCAAGGCATGAAGAACTTTAAAACCATTGTGTCGATAAGATGAAATATTAACCAATTGATAAGCAGCTAAGACAACAATTACATCTAAGCCAATTTACAAGCCTGACGGTTCTAAGCAATCTTTGCCTGTACATTCTTTATTGTTTTTCTTCATATTGGCGCAGCGTAAGCTAAAAAAAAATGGATTTTAACTGGAATTTATGGGGATGAATTGGCCCATGATAAGCGGTTCAGGAGAATTTTAAAGATCAACAAAGAGAGTTGAGATAAATTAAATTTTTCAAATCGATCTACAAAAACCAAAAACAAGGCAAAATCTCAACCGAGCTCAGCAGGTCCAGCGCCATCAGTCTCCTCAAGCCAGTTCCACTTTCTGCGCACTCCAGAAGTCCACCTGTGAGACATGTCGCTAAAATGATCAAAAAGCGCTGAACACACAGACACAAATAACGTGTATAACAAACTTTTTAAATAAAACTGTTACAATAATCAGGATTGTTCCATAAAAGTTTTTGGAAGTAATTTCCTAAGTTTCACTATTGTTTGATGTTCTTGATATTTTGGTTTTGAGGAAAGTTTTGGGGGAAAATCTGTTAAATTTATGCGTACAATTTTTCTTTACGACCTTATCCACTTCAAGTGTATTTCAACTATGAAAATAAATGTTTTTCTTCCTCTTAAATTACTAATATTAAAGCTAGCGAGACCACAGTTCTAAACGAGCTTTTAATTGAAACTCATCAAAAACGGCGGTATAATAATTGAATTGGAAAATCAGTAACAATTTGGAACAGGTTACTTGATGACAAAATCGATTCTAAAAACAGCCTATTAGAAAAGCAAAAGCATTTTTATATTACTTAGTTTAATTTAAAGAAGATCCACAAAGGCAAATTATCAAAACATCTCATGTAAAGACTTCATATTTTCAGTGAAATTTTTTTTTCCGTTACCTTGTGATACTATCAACTAAAGTTTCCTGTAGTTAACAATTATTATTTTTTTAAAATTAAAATTACACTTACACTCGTACATTTGAAAATACTTTCACCTGGCAAAAAAGTGTCTTTTTTAAATAATTATAAAAAACCATTTACTTACTCTAAAATAAACGCGAAACAGAGAGTTGCAACAATTGCTAATTAATGCCAAAATGGAAGCCTAGATACAACCAAAAACTATGCCAAAGGCAGAGAAAAATTCAATTGCCATCAAACAAAACTTACAAACCGATAATTAAAGCGACTTTTTTGAGACACCAGGTGAGCCAAGTTTTCATATACGGCTTTGCAATTTTTTGAAGTACTACTCAAAACACTCACACGCAAAGAAATTCGATGCGGCTAAACAAAAAATTCTAAGTCAGAAAATCAGAAATTATCATGGTAACCGAGGTAATTTCATCTTATCAACCAGTCAAACAACCATAGGAACTTCATAAACTAGAGAAAAGTAAAGGCTTACGTGGATAAATTAAAGCATCATTTGATTGGGAATCAAGCCCATCAGAAAAAGAAAACTAACACCCTGCACAGAATAAATCGGAGGTGAAAGAAATAGTAAGCTTTGACCTGAAACGAAGCTATGATTTGATACTTTCACTAAGCTATGCTTTTGTTTCCTTGTTTCTGCAAATGATAAATTTCTTCGAAAGTAAGATTATCTTTTATCGTGCCGAAAACACATACAGTGTTCAAAACCTAAATTGCCAAGGAGATTTTCTTCTTAGACATGTATACCTGCCCGGGATACCTCGGTACATGACCTCAACTTCTTACAAAGTGTACGCAGTGCTACGGCCGCTGCCACCCTGATCTTTAGAAGCTAATAAAGGAAGTATATATCCATCTTCACTTAAGTCTCCTTATTTAGTGAATCGGAAGTGGTTCTAAGGAAAAATCAAGGTTGAAACTTGAACATTTTTGAGAATTTTTGATAACCGAGAACTGACATCATTGATTTATGATAATGACACTAATTCAAACGTCTTGTCATTTGGTAGAAAATTGTTGTAAGCAATTGTCAAGATAAAATGGCAAGGACATAGAAGCAAAGTTGAGAAGTTCCATATTTTTCTAAGCTAAATTTATCAGTTTTTGAGAGAAAAACGGGGAAACTCAAGATAATCAGAAAAACTTTGAATCTCCCGAAACCAGTTTGACAATTATTCAATCTTTGCACTAACTAATATTTAAAATTTAATAAATCGAAGCTAATTTTTTCAAAAAACTGAAATTATTTCCTTCCAACCTAACTCGAAATTGTTTCCTTCCAACTAAACTGTTGCACAAAACTTCGCAGTGATACACGCGTCCTACTACAGTTGCGACAGAGAAAACAACAAGAATTCAAAGAAAGCTGAAAAAATTTTGAACTGACCAAAAATGGTCGATCAGCAAATATAGTGTAGATGGAAAGACGGTATTTTAGACAACGTTAGTTCAAAATTAAGTCAGGGGTTAAGACCTAGAAAAACAAGGGGTAAAAAAGAGGATATCTGAAACAATAATAATTGAGTAAGGGAGAGAGATAAATATGGCAATGGTGTGTTCGTTCCCAAAATGTTACTAACGGAGGCATTCACCGGTTCCAACGACTTCGAAAGCTACTTAACAGACTTTGCGCTACTAGCCGAACTACAAAATCAAAAACGTACTGTAATTGGAACGGAAACTGATAACTGTGTTAACCGCTTCGATTAATAATCTTTTTTGAGGATCATTTTTCAGACGAGAATCAAGAAGAGCGGCATCTAACTCCAACTTCGGAATGGACAAGGCCTTTCTAGGCGCAACCATGACATTGCCAAAGACGAAAAAAAATTAGGTTTTTTTGTTAAAGCGCGAACACGACCAATCGAAGTCCTGCGAAACACCTCCTGGTAGAAGTCAACAAGTAAGTGTAAATCGATATTTTTGACGGAAACATCACAATAATGCTGCGCTAGGCTTCGGTCAAAGACTTGTGCAGCATTATCTCGATGTTTCGGTCAAAATTATTGATTTACACTTACTTGTTGACTTCTACCAGGAGGTGTTTCGCAGGACTTCGATTCGTTGTGTTCGCGCTTGAACAAAAAAAACTACGATTTTTTTCGTCTTTGGTCAGGGTTGCGCCTAGGAAGGCATTGTCCATTCCGAAGTTGGAGTTAGATGCCGCTCTTCTTGATTCTCGTCTTAAAGATGATCTTCAAAAAAGATTATTAATCGAAGCGGTTAACACATTCATGAGTTCTTATAGCACCACGTTGCTTCAGTGGTTTGTCTCGAAAGAGAAACTTCCCATCTTTGTCAGCAATCGGGTGGAAGAAACACGCCTTTGATTTAACCAAGGTTGGTAAAGGTCTCATGTCGCTAGTGGCGTTAATTTTGCAAAGAGCGGAGGCCGCGGCATTTCAGCTGAGAATTTGAAATTTTTTACAAATGATTGGCCGTTCAATCTTTCAACAGACGTCATTGAAAATGATTTTTTTGACGACACCGTTATTTTCGTAGCTAATACTAAGGCGCCCAAACACACTATGACGTTTGGAGCGCCCTACGCTCGTTCCGTCGTTTGCACCGAACTCTCGCGTACTGGTTGCGGTTACTGCCCAGCCAAAAAACCTTTTGATAACTCAGATAAGACAAAAATCGACCCATCTGAACTTAAGATTGCGGAAGAAACGTTGTTATGGTTTTTCTAAAAAACAACGTCAAGTCAATCAGTCGGAGTGCAACCTATTTGCTATTTTTGTGTCCAAATAACCTTATAAGCTCCGCCGGCTAATTAGCCTTCAATGCTGAGCATTCTGTAATCTCTTGAATGGTCGTCATCCCTTACTAGTCTTGTTTATCTATCATTTCCACTGCGAGCATCACTTTCAGAGCATTGATCATTTACGTTCCGCGATTCACTTTTTTCATTCGTGGTACTCAAGTTGCGTTTTATAATCCGGTTCATTGAAAAAGACTGTGTCATAAGCCTTATACGAAAACCGCTGCCTTAAAACCGATTATGTCGGATCTACCGGTTGATTATTTGGGATTTAAGCAACAATCTTTCAACAATTGCTCTGTGGATTACTTTTGTCCCTATCATCAAATCATCCGGCGCAGCTCTGAAACAGCAGATCATTCTTGTTCAACTGCCTAAGAAACAACCTAAGAAGTCGTTCATATTGAAATCGTACCCTTTTTAAACAAAAGCTATTGTTTGACAGATTTACAGCAATTTCTTACGCCTACTGTTACAACATCCATATTTTGGTCCCAAAAGGAATCAATTTCGTTGGCGTAGAAAATGATCTATTCCTATGCATTTGTGAGGGAAGTAAATGCGCAACATAGCTCCTCATACATAAAATATAATTTTAACATTTAACCCATCAGGAGCCCCACATCATGGTGGTTCATGGGAAGGAATGGTACGCAGATTTAAGCGAGTCGTCACTTCAACAATTGATTCCCGTAAGTTGACGGACGAACCTCAGTATATTTTTTGCTGGGTTGAAAGTTCTTCGAACTACCGGACTACTACGCCAGTGACTTCGCATCCTACCGAAGTTTCGAGGCGCTAGGGTCGAAATACTTTCTGCTTGGGCAACAATGCGCAGATTTCCTGTATTTGTTTGCAGACGACAGTTTTGACGGCAAGAAATGGTATAACCGTGCACAGTCGGACGGGAAATATATATGTTCACGATGGCTGAAATGGTATGTTCCTGAAATTTACGTACAAGTGGTGCTCTTCAACTCCCCCAGAGCTCAAGACTAGGGCTACTACCCGCTCAGGTAGCGTAGGATACCCTAAGTGATTTGAAAACAAAATCTTTTCCTTTTGTTAATTTTTATGCTCGTTTTTAAGTTTGATAAGAGTTTCATGGTGGTGTTTCAGATCGTTTTTTTATTGTCAAAACGAGCAAAATTTTTTACCGTCAGTTTTTGCTGAACTGAAAATATTTGAATTCGTTTACTTGTTTATTGTTTTGATTTTGTCGGAAATAGTGAAAAATACACGAGCTTTTTTTTCAAGAGCGAGAAAAATTAATGTCAGTTCTGTAGTAGAATTTTAAAAAAGAGGCGAATTTTCTTAAACAGTTTTTTTATATTTACTTTTCAAACAAAAAAATGAAAAATATTTCAAAAACAACTATTTGAAATCGGTGTTCACAAAAACAACTCAAAGGTCAAGACACTATATCATTTGATTGCGGCAAAATGAGAGAAGAAAGGCAACAAAACTATACTATCCAAATTTTTTGCAAGTTGATCGAGACCTTATTGTTCCGACTTTCGACACGAAAGTAACGGAATATTTGTGCTCGGGTGGGTTTTTCTTCTTCAGACAGTTTCGGCTTTTTAACTAGCCATTTTTGACAATTTTTTTATATCATTCAAAAAGTATTGATTTTTTAATTTTGAATT